TACATAACATATATACATAATCATATATATATATATACACACACCACACACACACACACTACACACACGCACACACACACAATACTATATACAATAATACATATCATATAATTTATATATATTTGTGTATTTAATGTATATGTGTTGTATATTTATTGTCTGCAACCCATCCACCTGATGAGGGCCGGATTTTCGAAAGAAAAGAAAATATGTCCGTATGTATCTATAGATACATGATGGAACAGGAAGTTTATTTAACTCTTCATTCTGTGAAATCGTGATTTCTTCTGTTTTATTTCTAACCAAATTAGGCTCTAAACCTATTACCATTCGGATATATAGAAAGTATACACAGAATATAAGTCTTTTAATATACCCGAATATAATTACATTTTTGTGAAAAGATGGCTAAAAAAAAAAAAATAAAATAAATGTTTACTGAAATGACAAACAGCAAAGCCAATGTTTAGTGTTGTGGATAAGCGGTTGTTGAAAGGAGTTTAATATTGACTTTTCAGCCACAAACTTTGCTTTATTATCACAAATATTACAACAGACGACAGTAAGGAAATGATAACAAATATATTGATATAGTGATAATGAAAATAATAAAGGGTTTTATGCAAGTCATGATTCAAATCATAGTTTTTAAGGGCAATAACCATCTAATTATGACAAATGAGGGATTTGCTTCAACTGTATAACCTGTAATGGAGATGGTGATGGTGATAATAAATTGATTATGAGTATTATTATTGTTTTTATTTTTATTTTTTTATTATCAAAATTCATTATCATCGTAATCCAGAATACAATGGGAATCAATAGAGCCATAAAATAATCACAATCAAATGAAGATGATATAGTAATACTTCATTTGAAACCATATTAGGGTTAACCATTGAAACTTTATACCGAGCTACAAAAAATTTCAACACTTCTCTCAGACAAACTAATTTCGTTGAGCGTTTAAATCCTCGTTAATATGTAAGCGTTTTTGCGCTCTCACGTTACCGTTCTACTTGGGGTAAAACCAAATATGATGAATAGACAAGAAAAATGGGTTAACATAGCCTCCCCCCCCCCCGCCTTTAAACATAAGGGGAACAGAAACATGGAAGTGTTAGTCGCATTAATAGATACTTGATATCGAACAAACATGTCAATATTTTTGTCAATCATTTTTTGCAATCAGGAACCTGTCATACACATTAATTTGAGCATCATCAATCAAAAACGGGTTTCACGATATGTCTTTCAATACTTTAAAATCTGGTCAGTGAAGATAATGATCATGATAATGATAATGATAATGCAATAAATAAATAAATTATAAAACTTAAATAAAAAAAAAACAATAAAACGTGATAAAACGTTAGTAAAAGAGCGAGTATATATTATTTAAACGAACAGATAACACTGTTGATAATGAGAGGTTAATAAGAAAAGGAGGTTATGAGCATTACAGATATTTTTAAATATACTTATTTACAAAAAAGTTATACAAGCAATAAATAACTGCGGTCTGTCGTGCATTTCGTAAGGAGAGGGCTTGTTGGACGATTCCCTGCCGAAGAAATCGTTTAAGCGTATGAAGGGGTCGGCTTGTAGGAAGGCTGTGGAGCCGCGTAATGGGCCTCTCCCTCGTAGCTGACCTCGGCCACGAAGCCAGAGTCGCCGTTGACGGAGTAGGTGACCTTCTGCAGACGACGTCGGGAAGGAGGACGTAGTAGGAACCCTGGGCACCATAGCCATTGCGATCCTCCTGGTGACCGTAGTTGTTGTTAGAGTAGTCGTCCTTGACAGCGTAGTTGAAGTCGTACTTGCCGGGTGAGGAAGGCGCTGAATAATCATAGCCTGGGGTCTCCTCAGGGCGGGCGAGAGCCATGGCCACGAAGGCGAAAGCAAAGATGAACTGAAAAGCACGAAATATAAACAGATCACAATACACCTATTGTAGAATCCAATACACGCATGAAAACGAATAAAAATATCTTGTATGAGCAAAAGAAATAGAAGTCTTTGCATAATCCCTTCAAGTTTTGTGCAATGAGAGAAGATATGACTACCTTAGCAAACATGTTGAGGAAGATGCAGAAGTGATGTAGTCTGTGAGGGCGACCTGCTATATATACTGCAAAGAAGTCGTAAAACTGGGATTTGAAGGACGCGCTTGAATGTAGTCAATGTTAATCTATTTATATCGTGTTCTTGTCTTTCCTTTTAGTAGCAGATTACCAGAATGTTGTCTAAACGGCGTGCATCTAAAAAAACGCCTTTCAAATTTTAGTCTTTATAGAGCACCTGAGGACCGGATTTCCGAAAAGATAGAAAAAAAATGTCCGTATGTATATATATATACATGTTGGAACAAGTTTATTTAACTCTTCATTCTGTGAAATCGTGATTTCTCCTGTTCTATTTTCTAACCAAATTAGGCTCTAAAACTATTACCATTCGGATATATAGAAAGTATACACAGAATATAAGCCTTTCAATA